AAAAGAGTATATCTATGGCAGCATTCTCAACATGCTTTCTTGAATTACTGGTGAATAAATATTCTGCCACTTGCATTTTACAGCCTTTCCCGTATCAAAAGCACAACTGAGGAATACACTGTCACATGACAGCAGCAAAGTGATTGGCAAAGATTTTGCTAACTGCAACAGGAAAATGGCAGTAGCTGACAAAAGCCTTTGTTGATCTGTTTTAAACAAAGGTCAACTCCAAGCATTCAAACACTATGTATAACACTTGATAACAAAACTTAGTGTCTTTATTGTGCAACCTCAATATTACTAGCCACAGACTCTTTCATTTGATGTGGTTTCTACTTTTGTAAAGAAATTTCCTAACAGATGCAAAAGAGTTCCTCTACATTTATAATTTTGGTAAATTTAGCACACATGAAATACATATATTCAATGTAACAGCCCCTTCAGATCATAGAAGTGCGCTATTTGAAAGCGGTCTAGTAAGTTCAGATTTCAAACTCTGCAAGTAGAAAATCCCAGGACTGCAGATGTGCACAGAATACAAGTCTACAACTGCCCAGGTACATATTTTGGCTCCCAAATATTTTAGCATTAATATTTCAAAAGCCTTTGATGATAAAGATTTCTGTCAGTGTTAGCCAGGTATTTTAATTGATGTAGCCAGGTGCACATGTGTGAGAGAGAGCACATGAGAGCACCAGAACAGAAAGTGTGTTTTCCTGAAGCAAATTATATCGATAGATGATATCTGGCACAAACCTGAAGAAAATGTATAGTCTATCGTCTTGTAGAAAGATGTAAGCTTACGTCTTTCCAGTTCTAGAATTCCTAGCATACCAAATGCTTCATTGACACTGTTGCAACTTATTGCCCTTTTCCTTTTATGCTGACAGCTTCAAAAAACCCATACATGAAACAAGCATTTTAACTTCCTGCACACTGAGAAGACAGTAACCTGAGCCCTTCAGTTTGTCTCACAGTACGTTGGTGTAAGATGCCAAGAAAGGACAGAATTCAGAGTGATTTTGAGGCTTGATAAGCAGCTATTGGCATACGTTGTTCACTGCTGTTGTGCCAAGACAACAGGAAAGCAAGAGGACAACGAAAAAAATTAGTGTTTCCAAGATCAACAACAACACATTAGGAACTAACAGTTTACTAAGTAAATAAATTACATCATTTAAAATGTTTCTAGATTAAGCATTTGTTTTAACTTTAACAAAACAAAGAAATTTACGGATAGGCTGACAAGTTGTTGCAAGCCTATCCACAGCCTTTGTCACATTCATGCCATGTGTCAGTAGTAGCAACTAGATATGTAGTCAAATGAGGAGTGTAGATGGTTTGAAGTCCAAACCAGAATGGTTCTGATAGCAGGGTATTTTTTACTGGGGAAAAGAAACGCTTTATTCTCTCCATCAGACAATGTAGCTGCACTATTTAAGGGCCTTTACTGCTTCTTGATCCATCAGGTCAGCTTCAGACACCTTCTGCCTGCTGGAAATAACAGGACTATATCAGATAAAGTAAATTGTTGATGGGGCAGCTGCAGCTAGTCTACATGAAACATCATCCAGTTACAGGCACACTAATGTCCTGAAAATGATGTGGGGTTTGACTTTTTGGCCAGCTCTACAGATAAGAGTCAGCACGAAATAGCTGCCAGGGTGCAGAGTTAGCCTAGTCTGTGTCATCCTGTCAAGTACTTATATGTGTATATAAACACACAGGTGCCTTGTAAATGTCTATCTATATGTAGAAAGCAAAAATCATAGAACACTAGTTCAGAGAATCCACACAAAAGAACGCCCATACAAGTATCAGAACTTACAGAAATGTTCACTGAGAAAAACTTCAAAGGCAACATACAACCTACCAGAAAAATCACATTTCATCAGGTGAAGTACTGCACAGGATTCATATTCCAAACTCCTCAGTAAGTTGTACACTCAGGCACAAAGTAGTTGGATTAAATCCTTTCAACACGCACATATTGCATTCGTGTAATTATATTGCTAAAGGTACGTAGCTTATAGGCAGATTTTTTGGAAAGCTGTTCCAATATAATTCCCAATAGGGAAGTAATTATGTATCAGTATAGAATTGCTTTATACTAGCTTAATGCCTTTCTCTAAGAAATGGTTTTTTTTTTTCTTTTTATCAGTACACAGAACTTTACATTGATAGATCTGTATCAATTTGTAGATGTAAAGCAATACAAATTCATTACAAAACCCCCAAGCTGCTAGTTAAACAAGGCTAAAAAACCCAAAGCACTGAATGATTTAACCCATTTCCCCTGAATACTGGTAAGGAAGAAATCATTATTTCTATTTTTTAACACTTGGAAAGTGAAGGCCTATGAAAATACATACACAAATCATGAGTGTGCTGAAATCAGAAAAAAGATAAGCAACAAGAAAAAAGAGGACCTACTGAAGAAAAAAAGAATTAGGAAGAGAGTGTATTCTGTCCATGGAAAATATTTTGACAATTGTAGCTCTTCTCAAAATATGAAATATTTTCTCAGCCGTTCATCTGACTTGCCAGTGGAAACAGGAATCATCTTGGTCAATACGGACTATAAACATTTTATGAGACATTAGTAAAATTGGTATGATCATATTTCCTAGTAACGAGTGCTAACAGACCATTACAAAAATACAATTATTCTAACTAAATACAGCAGTAATCAATACCCTCTGCTCTGGGTGAGTTTGCTTCAGTAAATATAGGGATGCATATTTTTCCAATTAAAATGTTTAAAAGAAAAAAAGTAATAGTTTAATAAACTGGACTACAGTTTTCTTCACAGGCCATAAGCTGCTACATAAAGCGTGAACCTTAACTCTCCCCATGCAATTATCATTTCAGGTAAAGAGCTCCACCAGTTGTCCTTGGCACAGCGTCAAGACAGCTTAAGCTTTCCTTCTGTAAGTATCTGATGATGGAAAGAAGGATTCTGTAGGTTGTTCCCACTCCTGCAGCTGCTCACCTCAGCAGACGTTACACCTTCAGCCTTTCCACTTGTTCCAGATACTTCTGTTTTTCTTTTATAGCTAACTTCAGAGGTAATAGTGATACTAGAAATTAATTCCACCTAATGCCCAGTACTTTCTTGAGATATTTGCTTTCATAATGAATTGTTGTCAGTAATTTCTCAGCTTTCATATCCATATGTTAAGTTGGAAGAAAGATGTAAGCTGCAGATTCATTGCTCAGTCTATAAGTTGTGGATATTCAATGACACCAACTTGCTTAAACTGGTGGCGGTGTGGGAAAAACGTCCTCCCTTAAATAATTTACATGGCGTTCATTAAAAGGAAGAAATTGCTGCATCAAGGGCTGTGAGGTACCTTGTCAGCATTTTCAAAGATGAGGTGGTTTTTAGGAATAAAGAACAATGTCATAGGAAGTGTAGCTGTTCTCTTTAACTCTTCATGCTGTAGCTTAGCCCGTGGCCCAAACGTACTTTTAGGACTGCTCCCACCTGACCGACACAACTATGTTTGGGAAAGGAGATTAAGATTTTGGGATAGAGAGGGCAGTGCAGATGTACTTTAAGGGCAAAAGCAACTACCTCAACTTCCCAGTACAGAGCAGAAAGTGTTAGCAGTAAATGTAAAAAGAATCAGCTACACACTAGTTAAAAATAATAATCCTGTCTCTCCTGAATTGAGAAATGACTTACATAGACATGGCCGGTTAAATAAACTGCCTTTTAACCTAAAAAAAGAGAGAACCCCTTTGGCAAAGACAGCGTAAAGGGAAAGCTAGTGCAGCACAGCACGTAGCCAAAATATGCTGTTGTAGTTCCGGCGGGGTGGTTTTCCAATTCTTCTCAATCCCAGACTGACAGTAAGAGTGGATGACCTTACAGCTGTGTTTCTGCTTGCACAGTCCCGACCTGACAGCTGTGGGGGTCCTGTTTATTTTAATAGATACTTATTGACACTGGAAAATAACAGCATTTGTATCATTCAGGAGGCCACAGCCAAATGGCAGGAAGGAAACTGTCTGACATAACATAACCGGATTGTCAGCACTCTCAGGCCTGATGTTTGTTACAAATTAAGGAATCCTTCACTGCCTCGTTCAGTAACCATTGCACCTATGTCAGTAGCCTAAACTTAAGAGAAGTCTACTTCAGGTCATTTCATCCCACATATTTCCAAAGTCTTCAGGTATTCCTGAAGGCTTAGTCTACCAGCTATATCTTACAGACACGTGTGTGATGGCAGAGACAATTTGAGCAGGGTTCCACAAGAATGCTGCAGTGTATCCAGGCAGAATAATTTTCAGGATCAAACCCTCGCTCTGGGTTTGTGCGTCAGTATTTGTAAGGCTGACTTTCCAAAGAATTTGAATGAGTCATCTCACGAAACATGATGTGATGACATAATATGCTATTTTGGTAATCTATTTTTGGATCTATAGCAGAGCAATAAACATGGGGACTTCTTAAAATTTGGAAAATATAACCAAAGAAAGCATCTATACAGTGTGATACTACTGACAAGGTCACACTGGTGCTTCTTCCCTCATTCAGCTGAGACACATGTTGGAAAGGAACAGGCTTTCTGATATTTCCGGGCCCTTTCAGAAATATGGAAACACTTTGACAACTGGTCTTTTTCCCAACTTTCTGAATTCCGATCAGAGTAGCAAAACTAAAGTGTTCATAACTTTAAAAAAATGTCTAAGCTTCCAGTTCCTTCCCTTAACCTCGATATGGAAATAAAAGGAATATATATAGAAAGTAAAGGAGTAAAGTACAGACAAATAGCAGCAGATTTTCAACCTTTTAATGTCTAAATTTCATAATAATATATATTAATATAGGATAAAACTGAGTAGTTATTGTCAAAATAACAACAACAACAAAAAAAACCTCAACCAAAACCAAAATTAACAACAAGCAGAACATCTTTCCCCCCCAATAGGGCCTGACTATTTAGAAAGAGGAAAAAAACCCCAAACCAAACTTATTTTAAGTGTTTTCTTTACCTTATTTGATCAGTTTTGATCCTTGGTTTATGGGGATGAGAAATCAGCTCTTTCTAAAAAGAGGGAAAGACATTAATTATCACTAGTTCATTCCAATCTTACTGTTTCTCCTGGAGGACAGCTTTATACCAACACTGAACCAAAAGACTACACTAGTAATAGTAAAGAGTTTGTGCTTTTTTAATGTGCTAATATGGTACCTGAGTAGTCCAGAGTACAAAACTCACAGGAGTTACTGTGTCAGAAGGAAGGAGACTCATGTTTTGTTCCTGGCCTAGCTTTAATGCATAGAATTTGGACAAAGCAGATCTACTCGATCCATCACTTTAATGAACTTTGAGAAAAGGAAGTACTTAATACGAACCAACTTAAAAGCTTAAATAAGGAGGAAGAAAAAAGGAGGCTTTTATGTCTAAAATGAATACGTCATTTCTGAAAGTATCTTTTGAAATCTTGTCTTCCAAGTTACTTCTCAAATCACTACACTTATCAGCTTTAAAATTTCAGTTCTACTCTCTACCATTGAGTAATGAAATTGTATTAATTAAGATATGTAGTTCTTCAGAAGGACAGATGTTTAACCTTATATGGAGTAAAAACTCATCTATCTCTGCTTTGTGTCATGTGAATTGCAACTGAGATTACAAGGAGTGCCTTAATGTAATACAGACCTCTTATTCTTGAATTTTCTTCTCCTGATAAACATCTGGCCAGGCAAGCAAAACCATTAGAAATCAGTAAATCTAGAGTTCACTACTGATAATAATAAAACTCCCTAAATGGAGTTCTTCCCTCTATTGATCAAATTTAGTTTATGAGACCTTTTCAGGGAGCAGAGCATGTGAAACCTGCAGCCAGTTTAATAACTTTGTTATAAACAAAGTTTATAGGGTTGGACTAGATGATCTCCAGAGGTCCCTTCCAACCCTAACAATTCTGTGAATTCTGTGAAACTGAGTTTCAGTGTTTCGGTGGAAAAAACCCTAGAGACAAAAATGAAAAAAACCAAAGCAACTAACAACAGAAAGGCTGTAAAGATTCCTTTGGCATATTAAACTGAGAAATTTAGACACTTACACATAGTTGTATTAAAATTGGTTTAATTTAAATAAGTGAGGTCCTTTCATTATGTGTTTCTATATAGAACCCGGGACCCTCAGCACAGTGCCGCCACAGTCCTCCCCACTGTTCTGACAGCACTGTAGTCGCTGCTTCTGCTGTATTTCCCTTCTCAGTCCCAGTTCCCTTCTTCCAGTTTTCAAGGTTCCACACTTTCTTGTATTTGCCCCATTCTCCATCTGCCTCCACCAGTGAGGGCGGCTTCAGTTCCCGTCTGCTCCTCCCACAAGCACCTCCACATTTTCTGTGAAAATTTTGATGTACTAAGTCATCCTTTTGAGACAGTTTGCAAGAAGACATGCAATCCATTCTCAATGACTCTTCTATGCTTTTGTCCTGGAGAAAGTAATCAAGGCCAGCGTGTTGTAGCTGACTAAATTATAGATAAACCCACATAAAAAGAAAATGTAGCATCAAGAAATAGTCAGTCATACCTTCAAACGCTTTGAGGTATTTATAATATCACTCAAGTCCTCGCATTTTTCAGACTGGCACCGGTCCAATAACCATATTTAGCTCGCTTGAACTTCATTTAGCTTTTATGCTTATTGCTTCCTACTGTCTGGTCTGAATCACACAGCCTACAGGATCCTCTTTGCTTCGGAAATTTGTTTAATAATGCCAACTTTTCTGCATGCTTATTCAAGTCAAACTGAGGTGCTTTTGCTATGCAAGACTGGTTCCATGGTATGGTTTGCAACACCCCATGAACCCTCATACACTGGACTATGGTTCTTTGAATGCTGCCTGTATTGTAAGCACGCACAAACCTTGAGATGCATCCATAGTAAAAAGGAATCAGGCTTACTGCAATCCTTTCTTCTCTCTGTTTCCTTAGGAAAGCTAGTATTTCTTCTCTTCTCCTGGCCTGAAAAGAAATACATTTACCACAACAAACGCAGAAAACGGAATTAAACACATGTAATACTTGACTTGATTGTAAACTTTAAATTCCTCATTGAAGCTGAGAACTGGAGTGAACATACAGCAGAAACAGGCATAAGAGGTTACTGGATAAATTACTTCGATTTCTCTTTCTTCCAGAGGTCTAGAAAACACACCACTTGGGAGAGCAACCTTCTCTTGCTAGGTATACATGAGGTTTGAAATAATCCTTCTTTCTTCAAAGCAGAAGGAATCATTCCAAATGTCAAGATGAATATACACACTAAAGATAGCAAATACTATTTTGCAGCATCTTGAGATTATGAAATTGGGGTAGTTCAGGACTCACATATGCATGATGACTCGTTACAAAAACCTTTTTATTTGAGAGGTGCAACCAGAGGTAACTTTTGCCTTCAGTATGCATCTTTGGATTAAGACAGGCTCTGCTACGCTGTGGAAGTGATTTAAAACTGTGATGATTTCAAAGGTGAGAGAGTTTAGTCCAGTTTTGAACTTTGGAACATTTAATGACTCTTTTCAATCAATGGTTCAGGTTCCTCTCTCTGCAAGAAGAGAAGTACACATCCTAGAACTTGTTAAACCTCCTCACTTTATACAGTTAGAAGAAAAAATAATTTCTGAGGGAGAATAAACTCCTACTGAGAATTTTTTAGTACTGTGATTCTCAGACATCTGAGCACATCTGTATGTTTTTGCCTTATGGAAATGAATAGCTTTCAGCTACAGTGAGACATCATTGTTTAAGCTGAGTAAAAGCATATTAAATTGTTTTCATAAATTCCTAGCAATTTGTTACGAAACAGACATTCCAGGAAGTATTTTGGGAAAACCCTCAACCAATACCAGAAAGGAGCACATCTCAGCATATGACCAATCAAAAAAAAGAAAAGAGCTTCTCATTTGTTCTTTTCCATCCAGAAGTGGTTAAGAAAAGATGATGTAAAATTGATGGGGAAAACTCCTGGTTTTCAGTGCAGCGGATTCTTTTGTCTGGAAATTTCTTCCATGCAATTTAATTTTAGAAATTAAGCAATCTTCATAATTTAAAGTGGTTTCTTCAACAACCCTTTCCAAGTTTTAATGAGCTTTTTTTAATGAGCCAACTTCTTTTTCCTCAACAGATTAATGTAAATGACAGCATGAAAGACAAAGCCCTAGCTCTAGCTGTTTGGGAGTCCTGATATTGAAAAGTAACACCCACCCAATATTACAGAATTTTAATTCTTTTCCTTTACTGTTATTCCCCTTTCACAAAAGGGAAGTTGATAAAAAGGAAAGCAAAGCTAAGCCACATCTTAGATCACAATAGGAAGCAGTATTTCTATTCAAGAGTGTGGGGAGTTAATGTAACCACAATACCGAAGTGAGGCAAGCAGCACCGGCTTGGGAGTGGGAACCAGGTTCAACCAAGAGACAGATCATCAGGCAAGTTAGTGGGGAAGCGTCAGTACAAGTTCTAGTCAGGAAGGCAGTCCACAGATCAGGCTCCGTGATGGAACCTTAGAACTTACTAACTAAAGATAGCCAAATAAGACCAAGATCAAGAGAAAAAAGTGGCCAGATTGGAAAAATGTCTAGCAATACAAAGATTTATTCACACAAGTCTTGCATTCCTCTTTTAGATACATTAAACCGATTACTCAGGTTTGCAGTGTTTATAATTTTGAGATTTCTTTTTTAATCACAAAATATCCTGTAAAGCCTGTGAGACTTGATGCATTACAGAATAGTCCAGTGAAATAAACATCCAGAAGACAACAGATTTTTTGCCATGTGCCTCACTGCTATTTTATATGAAATTAGCTAACTAATTAAAATAAGCATTTCTAGTAAAAGAATTCACTGTCAGTTTCTGAAATAACAGTGTTAATGCAGCTAAGCTTTCTTTCTAAAAAACCCTGTCCCTGTACCGCTGTGGAAACAACATTCACTTCCCAGATCTACACAACAGAGCTTCCAGGTTTTGCTCTCCCAGGGCACATGCTGCAGGAAGAGGTCTAAATCAAGTCTGAAATCTGTATTTGAACAGGAAATGACACCTATGACTGATAATAACGTGAACATTATTCCATTATTCATTCAGTGCATTAATTTTAATTTTCTTAGACTTATGTGAGGCTTATAGCATGTCCTGTAGTTGTATGAAGTAATTTACTCATTGAAATTAATCAGTCATCTTTATGATTGCCAGATGCCCAAAGCTGCAAAACCTTGCTATCAGCTATTGTTACTGAATTTTAAAAAAAGTGAACGGAAGATTCAGGGAACTGCTGCTAGCTTGAGCCAGAATTCAGAAAGAGGGCTAATTGATGATAATGGATGAGATGCATTTTGGAATTATTAATTAGAAAAGGAGGATTGCTGACTTGCAGGAAAGACTTGCAGACCTCAGCACCTTTCTGCACCTCTTGCAGATTGCTCACATCTGGCCTGCTTCCCAAATATAGGCTAGAGGCTTTTCAGTAAAAATGTGGAACGTTTTACTAAAATGACAAAAAAAAGAGTATTATTACAGAGTCAGGCTGAAAATTTTATTACAGTATTTAATACTAGTTGTCTTAGTTTCCATTACTTGTGTGAATTGTATTCATGGTATATATGTGGAACACTAATTTACCAGGTAGAGTAATAGGGGCTTCAGTAAAAGTTTATATCAGTGTCTCAATGGCAAGCACTACTGTTGTCTGCATCTTCTTTTTCTTGGCAAACTAATAGGAGAAACCCCAAGCTCTACGTACTTGGTCCAAACCCACTGTTTTGCAGGAGGTGGCCCTCAGCGATCTGCATACCATGTCACTTATTTTGCTTCTTTTCATGGCTAATTTAGTGCTTGAGTCACTGCATAAGCATGAGTACATATGCTTCATAGCATACCAAATTTTATTGATCCTATCCACCAATCACAGACTACAGAACCATTAACTAAAGTGCTGAGTGGGCAGCTGCATGCTAGATTGATGTTAGCTTTTGTAAAACTCCACTAAGTCAGAAGGCTCTGTGCAGTCCAGAAGGATCCAACCTGAAAGGCACTACAATATCTGAGTCATGCCTTCCATTGGAAAAAAAGCATCATCTATAAGCTCAGTTTTGATGTTGCTTGCTAAAATCTACAGTTTCTTCTGCAGCTAAGCAGTTTCTACAAAATTTGAAATGCCTTGGTCTAGCAGTTCTTGAATTATACCTCTCTAAAAATATCACCTAAACCTGTCCCTGAGTGACAAGCTAAGGCAGAAGCATTTCTACGGAAGCTGATTTAATAACAGCCCACTACCAAGTTTCTGGCATCTCTCACTCAATGAACTCTTGGCACTAGCTGCTTCTGTGCACAAGCTAATGGACTAGATCTATTAATAACTAAGACAATTAAGAAATAAACTTACGCTTTGAGCTGTGTTTCAGTGTTTCTATGCCAGGATTTTGTGTGTGAAAGTGCATGCAGCACTGGTGGGGTTTTTCCCCCCGAAATGATCCATTTTTGAACCTGGGCGCTCTCAGGTGGCTACTTTTGCATACAAAATCAGAACAGACATTATGTTCTAGCTATGAAGAAAATAAGTACACAGCCTACTACTTTCAGCCCTGCCCCAAGCCAGCATGACCCAATTAGGAATAAGTTTAAGCTAACCATCAAGAAATGGGCTGCATTATGCAGACCATACAGTGGGCCAGGTCCAGGCGATTTTCATTACTGTTCATTGTGTCGTTTCCAAAGTTCCAGTATCCCACCAAATGACACACAGGGAATGGAAATATTTATGAAGTAAAAGAGTTAGGATCAGTGGTTCTTACCTGCTGAAGATATTTTTCCTTTACTTTAGTTTTCTCCATGCTTTGAGCTTCCAAGAGTCTCTCTTTCTCACTGTTTTTTTCACTTTCTAAATAAGACAAATGAGAGGCAAATGACCAAGCGGTCCTACTGCCACTGTCCTTCACAGGGGACAATTGAACCATAGTCTACTTTGGGGCCATTCAGAAAGTTAGTTATCCCAGTGTCTGGATCCCATGACAGTATCCACTGAATATCTCAGTCGTGCACACTAGGGGCTGTGGCTCTTCTGTCATCCAGACCTTATTGGCATGAATCATTGTTCATTCCTGAGAATTAATTCCTCCCAGAAACCTAGGCAACAAAGGTTTAGCAAGCTGGGGGCACACAGTGCTTCATACATACTTCTAGAAAGTTGTGGGCCCTGGAGAGTAGTACTTCTCTCTGGAAAGAAAACTCACATTAAGGGCACCTGGGAAGGTGGCAGGGGGATGGTGCAGGGAGGACATGAGGCCCTGGAGAGGTGTGGGGGGCCTGGAGAGGGTGCAGGGCTCAGGCAAAAGGTGTGGGGACCCCAGGAGAGGTGTGAGGCTCTGGAAGGGGGACCCTGGAGGAGCATGAGGCCCCAGGGAAGGTGCAGGACGCTGCAGAGAGGTATGCGGTCCCAGAGACAGCGTAGGGCTGTGGGCAGGGTCTTCTCATGGGGCAGGGTCCCCTCATGGGCCATGGTACCCTCACAGGGGTCTCGCCATAGGGCAGGGTCCCTTCCCGGGCAGGGTCCCCTCACGTTGCAGGGTGGCAGGGCCTATACGGGACTCGAGTGGTGGCGGGAGCATGACTGAGGTCCAGAAGGTGCGGGCGAAGCCCACGTCAGCTGGGCTCGAGCCAGAAAAGACAAGGGGCCCATCGGGTGCCATCAGGTGCTGTCCTGGCTCTGTTCCCATTGCATGGCATGAGGCTGCATCCTGGTGTCCTCTTTCCATGAGGTGGACCTGCCCAGCTCAGCCGGTCTGCTCCTGGCCTGTGGCCACGAGGAAGCAAGAGGACGGCAGGACCCTGGTGCTGCCCGTGCCTGTCACTGCCACCTGCTACGGTAGGTACCCGTGACTGCTCTGCTCGGGCCCTTCCCTTCTCCCTGCTGTTACTGGCCTCTGGGTGCCAGGAGGGAGGACTGTAATGAAGATGCGGAGCCGTCTCAGAGCAGCACATCTTCCAGCAGCACAGACATGCCTGGGGAGCCTCGACCCAGCTGCACGGTAAGGGACTCTGCCTGTCACAGTAAACACAGAAGACCAGAAAGATGGCCACATTGTTCATCCCATTTCAAGTGTCTTTAGGTCATTTTCACTCAAGTCTAGCTTTGGGCCTCTCTATGAACAGGAAGTAGCGGCCACCACAGGCCTCAATTTTATTTATTCAGCAAGAGTAAATAGAGGTAAATGTGAAAACAGTGGCCTTAGACAAGTGTAAGGCTGAGACCAGCATAATCAGAACTGGAGCTGATGTCTACAAATTTTGGAAAGAAAAAACCTTTCAATTTGTTCTCATGTTTTTTAGTGTCCTGTATGCAAAATTGTTGTGAATGAAGTGTATCACACAGGTACAGTTAAACTGGCTTGACAAATGCACTGATGTCTCTTGCATGTGTGACAGGCAATCCAGTACATTTCACTTGTTTTATTTCACTGTCTTGCCTGTCTATTAGATGCTTCTGCAAAGAGGTTAGCCTACCTGCCTTCTGTTGTTGAAATTCCTGTGCATCTGATTTCCATTGAGATATCTTCCAAACCTGTTTACCTGGCTGTGTGGCTAGTGATTGTGACTTTTGGCAATCAGCTAACTACACTGCCTAGTAACTAGGCTGATGTAAGAGACAGTTCCCTTTCAACTACTACTTTGATGAAGACTGGGGTTTTGTTAAAAAAAAAAAAGAGCAGGTTCTAGTATTTTCTCCATTATTAAAATTCTTGAATGTTAAGCAAAGTGGTCAGAGTGAAAAACATTTCTAGCATATGGTGAGTATAATATTTAATCATTGCTCAAAACCCCCTTCACTGACTAGTTTGTTAAATAAGACATGAAAGCTAAATGAAAATTGTTTTCCTAACACCTGACAGATAAACTGAAGGGTACAACCAAAAAAATCCTTAGTCCAATCTTGGTGCATAAACAATTAAGTGTACAATAAGTCTTCATGTGGCTAAACAATTTAAACACAACAGACAGCGTTCTTGCACCAGGCAAGTTCCTAAGTATTTTAGTACCAATGTCAAGAAATCTAAGATTTCACTTGCTATTGCCAACATATACCATACTCTTTTGTTGGACAGCTGAACTTCTGGAAATAAAGCTGTAAATGAACAAACATTATTAATAATTTTGCACTAGGAATAAGGATGTTGTAAGGAAGTTTTGTAGTGCAGTTTTCTGTACTGAGATTGTAGCAGGGAATCCTGTGCCTTGTTTTGATGGCAGTGAAGTTAGTGATTGTGAAGCAGTGGACACAATCAGCTAACTACACTGCCTACAAACCAGGCACTACTCTTGTGATGGTGTCATGGCATTCAGACCTAGAAAAAAAGAAAGCACTTCCAAGAATTATATCAACATACTCTATCTCAAATGCTCTTATAACAACAAGCAATTGACAATAATGGAAAACATTGCTCATATGTTAGTGTTAGTCTACTAAATCCAAAGTCTTTATATCACAAATTAATTGTTCTTAATAATTAAAAACTGCAGTGGATGCATCATAAAGGTCATTTCAGCAGTGCAAAGACAAAGCAATGAAGTATTCAAATTTAAATCATTATAATGTACCACAATGGAAATGGGAAATGAGAAAAGCCTTGGCATGTAGTCCTTGCTGCATGAATGCAGAATTAGTGGTAGCTGTGTTCAGAGCTGGATGTGCAAATACAGCTGCAAATTTGGGCCAAGACAAAATGTTCAACATGAATAACATCCTACCTAGTTTACAGCATGTCAGCTGTTCGTGCTTATGTCACAGTGATCCTACTTATCCTTGTTCTCTAGTTGGGGCATTTGAGTTAATGTCCTAACAGCACCCACTTTGTGCAATTTCCATTTAAAGGTTTTCAGAAGAAACTGCATGTAACTCCAGCAGCTGTAAGAGTGGTAGAATTTCATTAGTTCCCTGAACTTCAGAAAGCCTTTTTCTTCCAGAAAACTATAGGAACACAGATAGTGCTGGTAGTCAGATGTCAGGCTGCTCAAACCTTTTACGCTAATTTGTGGTAGCTGAAGAAATTAGCAAATGTGTTCTGCAGAACAGAACTGAATGTGTGTAAGTAGTTACAATTAATTATGTCTAGTATATGTGTATGCAATTGATAATGTGATAAAAATATTTTATATAAATTTATTAGGCCATTCCCAAATCAGGACTGAGACAGAGTCTGTGAGGTTACAGGGTAAGTTTGTCTGCAAATTAAACAGGTTTGCTCGCTTTCACCCATAGATGCCTTATTGTTAAAATGCACAAAAATAATTCAGGACTTACCCTCAGGAAGCTTACCTTGTAATAATCCTGATAAAGACTGAATTTATAATAAAATGCTTAAAAAGTTTTAATGGAAAGGGAAAAATGGCTGGCTTCTTCACTCTTCGTTTCCTTCCCTTTTCCATGGCTGGCACAGCAACCTATTCCCTGAGCGCTCAGCAGTCTTTCACTGGCAGACATGCCTCTGAGGACCGTTCCTTAGGTGGCCCCTGGGTGTCCCATCTCTTCCCCTGGGACTCCTGGGTTGGAGTGTCCCCAGTCTGGGCTGTGGGTCAGCCCCATGCCTGTAACCTTTGTGTATGCTCTGTCGTCATGGTCACTCAGCTGCAGCTTGTGCATGGAGACTGGACTGTTGCTTTGAAACGTGCAGATGGGTCTTGCCATAGGAAGCTTTGTTTCAAAAGAGGTTTCTATGGGGAAAGTCAATATGGAGCACACACGGAGTTTTCGCCCTGCTCCTCTGGACAAATGGCTACAGGTTGTGTCACAAATGCCGAAGGTGATCCAGGCTTAGTGACACTGTCACGTGTGGCAGTTTAGGCACACACTTCTAGGCTGATAGCTGGATACTGGGGCTTCAACCTGGTTTTATTCATGCCAGGAGTCCAACTGCCATAGAAGGAGGATGCAAAAAAGACCAGCAGCCCCAAAGAAGGAATGTCTTGTGCTCCTGGCACTGCGCTGCAGTGGGAGGCACATGCTGCACATCTTCACTAAACAGTGACCCGCACCACCTCTCTTCCTATTTCTTGGGGGCCTAGCCAACCATTTCTGTATGCTTGCTTTTGACCTGGTCAGCTCACTGTAGTCCTCTTACCCCCTTGCATGTCAGGTCTTGTTTCTCTAAGTAACCCTTTGCTCTCTTTTTCCTCACAATCAGCACCAACACAACCCCATCCTGCTGCCACTTATGTTTGGAGGAGCAGAAGGCAGATAGATAAGCCTGTATGGATTGGTACAATGCTGACTCTCCCCACTTTAGGCTGTTCTTTGCTCCGTGCTAGCCATATTGGTAATCGAGGCAGAGCAGGTGAAAAGACATTTTGTGCCCTGCATTGTCCCTTTTTTTGTGTGGGAGGAAGAATGGCAAGAGAAAGACAACATGCTTCTCCCTGCCATGTTAGCAACAGTGGGAAGATGTGATTCTTAGCTGGTGATGTGATCCACTTAGCTGGTCTAGTGATTTGGGGTATCTAATTGACCTGAGAGGCTTTTGAAGGGCGTGTCCTTTAGAAATTTCTGGGCATCTCACCCTCTGTGAACTGCATACCTCTATAAGGTCCATGTAAATTGTGTCCAGCAGGATCGCTCAGATCTCTTGTAATTTCTGAAAATCATAGCATGCACATAGGGACAAAGAAAGAACCGATGAAAGTAATCAACACTTGATTAGATTAGCAGAAAAATTTACAAGGCTGCTGCCATGGCTCTTAGGCCACATAAAATAAGTCCAGGTAGCTTTGCAGTCTTTCCTTTGCTATTTAATTTTAGAATACGCTAGACCAGCACCAGTCTTTTTATTTTACAGTTTATTTTATTGCTTAAGTTGGAAGATTTAAATTAAATTCTAGCATTATGTGGTGCTCAAACACTTAAGATCCTCTTCAAGCAAATTTAAGCTTCTCCCAATTCCTATATTGTAATATGAATTGAATTAAAGGTATTAGAAGCCCCATGAATCGCAGAGTTTTTCTCTTCTGTGAAGGAAGATGACAGGTCAGAGAATGAGGGTAAGAGCAGGTCCTGAAATCAACTGTTACAGATGGAGTTGCGATCCAGAACATCTTCTATATTTGTGGAATATATGTCCTTAGCAGTTACACCTTATCTCCTGCATCTGCCCTGTATGACACTTTTGTCATACCATCGTGGTTTGCCTGCTTACCTGCATAATATGGGTATTCTCACAGACCTTGCTTCAAAGACCTTTTACATCAGTGAGTGTTTTCCTTGGGCAGGAGGCTTTTCCTGGTCAGTGTAATTAGCATGGTCATACTGTCATGTGTGTTTTGTGTAATAAAATACAGTACTTATGGTAAAATCTTTAACCAGAAAAATTATTTGTAAGTACCTATCACTTAGGTTTTTACAGAACACCTATTGAGTAACTAAGTAATCCAGTAAAGATGAAAACCTTAATCGGAACATGGTTCATTTCTGAAATGCCTTTTATTAAGCCCTTTCATCAAGCCCAGAAATTGTCTACTTATATAAGCTGAAAGGGAAAAATTTGTGAGCAATCAACATATCAAACTTTTAGTTTGTGGCTTTGATTGGAATCAGTTTCTATCTTGGTTCAGTCAAAAATAATTCTTTGCATAGAGAATGCATGATTTAAATAAAGGTTCAAGTTTTTAGCATCCAGATACAAGGTTTCTTCTGCCCTCTGACATAATGGCATAGTCAATTGAATTGGTG